GGTTATTGAGGATTTCCCCTCAAACTTGATATGCTGGTGTTTCTCCTTTGCACAACGGCACCCACGGAACCGACAGTTCCAAATTAAAAGGCATATTATACCGTACACTTGCTTATACAATCGGATATTTTTGCAATTAATTGCAATGATAAAGATTAGGGATTCTGTTCTTCCCTGTTTGTTGCTCGGTGAGGTCTTCGGAGCCGATGAAGGAGGCGCCGATGAACTCTGTTTCTCGCATGCTGAATTCCGGAGCATTGGTGAAGGAAGGTGCCGCTCCTGGGAGTTGGATGAAGGAGATCGTGCACTTTGTGGTCTCGATCAGTTCGAATCCTATGAAGACCAATTCCAACTTTGTACTTTAATATTATAATTTAATATTATATTTCAAGCTTGTGTTTTAATATTTTCAGTTTGTTAGTTATTACCATAAATTTATGAGATAAAGGTCATATTGGTATTCGAAGTTACATAAAAAGTATCAAATAAGTCCTTATATGGGAGGCTCTGTCCGGTCGTCGTCATTTGGGACGGTTCTCGGTGGAATTTTTTGACCAATTTTTTTGAGCATCTTACTCTTTAAGTCTAGTTTACTCATACCAAATTTCAGCTAAAAATTCAATTGCTAAGGCATTCAAATGAATTCTTGAAGATAACTGCGCAATTAAAAGCGCAGTTATCTTTAAGAATTCATTTGAATGCCTTCACAATTGAAGTTTTAGCTGAAATTTGATATGAGTAAATTAGACTTAATGAATAAGATGCTCAAAAAAAATTCATCAAAAAATTCCACCGGGAACCGCCTCAAATGGCGACGTCCGGACAGTAAGGACTTATTTGACTCTTTTTATGCAACTTTGAGTACCGATCTGACCCTTACCTCATAAATTTATGTTATATTAAAAATTAGCATACACAAATGAAAATTTGAGCATTCTAAATGTGCTAATTGCTGAGATGAGTTTTATGTTATACTAAAATGAGTATTGTGTTATACTAAAATGAGTATGGTCTAAAATAAATGGGCATGAGTAAATATTATAAAAACAACACGATTATATTTGTAATTTAAGAACAAAAGACTATAAATTATTTTTAATATAACACTCTAATGTTTCTCATTGTTATATATAACGAGAGTTTATAAATCGTTAATAATGCATCTACTAGATGTACACATTATAAAAAGTAGTTTATGTTATATTTGAATGAGTATAGCGATTAAAAGAAATGAGCATATACAAATGAATATCAGAACACATTACAGAATTCAATTGAGCTTTTGAACAATTATGTATGTTCATCTGGTATAGGTTTTATGCTCATTATAAAATGCCATATCAATGCATATGTTAAAACTACCATATTACATTAGATTCCCATGAGATCAAGTTGATTGTAGACACGAGCGTACAGATTATGATACTCAATTACATGCTTCTAATACTCAATAAAAAAAATTTGATCCTCAATGAAAATATCTTGATGATCAACTAACAAAGCTTATTATTTTCATATTAATGCTCATTTTGAAAGTTATTTATGCTCATTTGGTATTGATGTTATGCTCATTTTAAAATGCGGCATACCAATGTTTATATTAGATCTGCATATTGAAATTCATAGTAATTGATTATAGATATAATTTAATGAGTTTTTATAAAATATAAGATAAGAAAAAGAAAGTGAATTACAATATATGAAATTGATATCACAATACTTATTATTCGACTCTTAATGCTCAATAGAATACGTCTGATGCTCATTATTGGGTTGATTATAAACACACGAGCACAAATCATGATACTCAATCACATGATTCTAGTACTCAATATCGGATGTTTGATGCTCACTGAAAATGCATTGATGCTCAACTAACAAAATTTATAATTTTCATATTAATACTCATTTTGTAAGTTACCTATGTTCATTTGGTATTGATGTTATGCTCATTTTAAAATGTCATATAATGCATATTTCAAAAGTACCATAAATTCACATATTAAAATTCATAAGAGTTGATTATAGATATAATTTAAGAAATTTTTATAAAAGAAAAAATAACAAAAAAAGTGAATTAAAAGTTATGAAAAAGATATCACGATGTTCAATATTAGACTCATAATACTCAAAAAAATAGGTTTGATGCTCATTAAAAGTTAATTCATGCTCATTTAACAGAAACTGTGATTTTCATCTCAAGAGAGGAGGTTTGATGCTCAATGAAAGTGTCGTGATACTCAACTAACAAACCTGGCAATTTTCGTATCAATGCGCATTTGGTAAGTTAATTTGCTCATATGATACTTTTGAAATACGCATTGATATGAAATTTTAAAAATGAGCATAACATCGGTGCCAAATGAGCATAGATAACTTACAAAGTGCACATTGATATGAAAATCACAAGATTTGTTAGTTGAATATCAAGAAATTTTAATTGAGCATCAAATCTCCGCTATTGAGATAAAAATCACGGTTTCTGGTGAATGAGCATTAATGAACTTTTAATGAGCATCGGACCTATTATGGTGAGTATTAGAAGTCTAATATTCAGAATTGTGATCTCTGCTTCATAACTTCTAATTCACTTTCTTTTTGTTATTTTTCCTTTTATAAAATTATATTTATAATCAACTCCTATGAATTTCAATATGTGAACCTAATGTAAAATAGTACTCCGTACTTTAAAGCAAATGCATTGATATGACATTTAGAAAATGAGCATAAGATTAGTACGGGATGAAACATACGTAACTTACAAAATGTTCGTTTATATGAAAATCGCAAAGTTTGTTAGTTTGACATAACAACATATTCATAGAGCATCAAACCTCATCTATTGAGATGAAAATCATTGTTTCTGTTAAATGAGCATTAATGAACTTTTAATATGAATCAGACCTATTATGAGCATTAAAACACTTTCGATGAGCATCGGACTTATTAGAGCATCACCATTCCTAATCCCGTAAAAATCACCCTTTCTAGCATTCTTGCCTTTTAAATATTCTTACATAATTAATTTTTAAATAATCTCAAAATCCATTTATGCCTCCCAACCATCATCTTCAAATAATCCGCTTTTTTCTCCGTCCGACATTAACATATTACACATACTTTTCAAATAATCTTAAGATAATCCGGATTCATATTTTGATCCCGGATTATTCTAGCAAATAATCTCATTAAATAATCAATGTCTCCCAATGATACTTCTCTAAAAAATCTGCCATGTCACTAATTTGATCCCTCAATAATCCTAACAATGAGGATGCTCTTAGGAACCCAAAAATATATATAACAAAATTATAAATATATTTACATACGAGAGTAAATTAATAGTATGATTCCTAGATCAAATAAATACCTTAAAAACATGAATAACTCTTTTAATAAGTAATAATGAGCAAAAGCAAAGAATGGTTAATATTACAATTACTATTAAGGGAGAAGGTACAAATATACCCCTGTACTATGGGTGGGAGAACAAATATACCCTTATTCTATTTTTCGGAACAAATATACCCCCGAAGTATATGTTGAAGTGCATATATACCCCTGAACTTTTAAAAAGTGCAAAAATACCCCTTGTGTTCTTATAAAGACGCAAATTTACCCTTAATGACGTTAGATAGATAAAATAAATTTCAAAAAACACCAAAAATAAAATATAAACTCGATATTTAAAAATAAAGATTTATTATTATGTTAAAATATTAATTCTTTAATTTTAAATTTGAAAATTTTTATTTTGTTGTAAATGAAGCACTTCAAATTCATTAATACTAGTATTACTTTTATTCTTTTTATGAAATTTTGAACACATTGTTATATTTTTTTAAGTAACATTCTTTGATTTTGTTTAAACTTAATAAAATTAAATTCACTATTTTGTAATCTTGAACTATTTATCATCATATAAAATATGTAATTTTATAGTGCAAAGAATGCAAAAAAATTATTTTTTTTGTATTGGAACACATAAGTAACACTTTTTTCGAAAAAATCTAAAATATATAGTAATGTTTTGAAATAACATTTTATACTAACAATATTTAAATGTGATTACAAACAATAAAGGGAGAATTGGACACAAGTACATTTTTAAAATTTTTATTTTTTAATTTTGAATTTATAATTTATGTTTGGTGTTTTTTTGAAATTTATTTTATCAATTTAAAGTCAATAAGGGTATATTTGCTCCTTTATAAGAATATGAGGGGTATATTTGTACCTTTAAAAAAGTTCAAGGGTATATATGCACTTTCACAAATACTTCAGGGGTATATTTGTTCCGAAAAATAGAACATGAGTATATTTGTTCTCACACCCATACTACAGGGGTATATTTGTACCTTTTCCCTTACTATTAACAAACAATTGTAGTACGGAGTGTGAAAACATGTAGGATAAGGAAGATAAAAGAATGGATAATAACAGCAAGGCGAGTCGGTGAGATGGTTGGAAGGCTGCATATTATATCTCAGGTCTAGGGATTGAATCTTTCTGGCGTTTTAAGTTTTTTAAATTTTGGGCTTCTAAAGCATGGGCCTACAGTTAAGTAACTCAATTAAATTTGGGCTGGACATACACACGGTGGTATGATATACCGACTCAAATTAAAAGGGCAAGTATGTAAAATTAATCATATTATTTAATAAAAATTCTAATGTGAGGCTGTAAGTAGAAAAGGAGAGGCTACAATTAGAACTACACAGTCTACACCAAGTTTTTCTAATAAACACCTGTTATTTTCACTCGTCCAAATATATTTTTAAGTGTAATGATTGTTTTTTTTTTGAAAAGGAATGAAATAATTGAAATTGATACCTCCAGTCTTTTTTAACATTATTTTATCGTATTTCATACTTCCTCCGTTCTTAAATAAGTGCAACAGTCAACATTTCACACTTGCGGGGGCACAACTTTGACCATTAATATATATAATTCTCCATTAGTAAAAAATTTAAAAAAAATCAATTTTTGAAAATTTACAATGAGACAAATTTAATAATATATTTTTCAAAAAAAAATATTAATACATCAAGTCATCAATAAATAAAATGTAGTCACATGTTACACTTATTTAAGAACGGAGGTAGTATATAAATTTAGAAACAATTTTTATTTATAATTTAAGAGATCCAATTCAGTCTAAACTCAGTTCAATAGATTCTATCATTCCATCCATTTCAAACCTCACAGGAGGAGCATTGCATTGCAGACAATAATGTTCAATACTCAAATCAACGACATTTTCTGTGTTGCAAAATCCCAAGATGGACACGAAACCACTTTCACCCGAAGAAATTTCATTTAATGGTCTTTTTGTGCAGCAAGTTACAAAGCATGAAGAAGCATGCTAAGGGTATGCGAAAAACATCAGAAGTACTCTTTCTCGTCTGTGAACTAATAGACATATGTAGTATTGCCGAATGGAAAAGGACAAAGAGCGAAAGCAGCACTGGATCCTCATTTGTCTATTCACTCATGCGGTTCTTTCAGATCCACCACCAGTTTGCATGTGCAGCCAATCTGGTGAAGCTCCCCGATGATAGTCTCGAGTAGCTTGTGAACCAAACACTATTGTAGATGCATCGAAGGTGTGTGTAGGAAACTGGACAAAAAGTCAAGATTGTTTTTAACTTTGTAAAACATGAAAGAAATGATGCACCCATTCGGTAGTCACTGTCAAAGTCTTTTAGGTGATCTTAAAAGTATTGCATCATATTAGGGCCTGTTTCGGATAACTCTCGTGGTATAAGTGCTTTTATTTGTCATTACTACTTTCTCATTTAAAGCACTTAAACTGCTTTTCCTATAAGGATGTTTTTACTTGGACTGTAATTTGCTGGTCTGGTCTGGTCTAATTTGGTCTGAACTGGTCTGGTCTGGTCTGGTAATGTCTGGGTTCTTTGTATTTTTATAACTATCCAAGTCTGGTCTGGTCTGAACTGGTCTGGGACAAATTACAGTCCAAGTAAAAACATCCTAAAACACCAATCTCGGATGGTACCTAAGAGGCTAAAAGTAGCTTATTCGTTTGACTTATTTTGCAATATTACGAAGCGCTTTTATTTTGCAAAAGTTAAGAGATCCAATCATATAAGACAAACAACTCTTGCCAAACTCGCAAAACTACTTCCTAAAATAGGAGGAGAACATAGACAAGTGCACAAATAGAAATAACTACGTAGTATATTTTATTCCTAAAATATTTTATTCCTAAAATAAAAGTTATTTGATTCTAAACTTCCTCAAGAGAATTAGTCCTTTTTAGGAAGAAAATATTGTGTTTCTATTTGTACATCTTGACTATATTTTAATCGAATTTAAGGAATTTTCTCCACCACTTTTCTGAAAAACTCTTTTGTTTCAAGTAAAAGTGTTGTTTCCCTCTACATGGCACTTGCTTCGTCAAATTAGCTTACCCTAATGCTCTATTAATGGGTATGACTGAGAATGCATACGACACTTACATCTTTTGATGGGAATCCTTCGATTCCGGGGCTAATTGTTGAATTAACTGCTTCAAGCTTCATTGACAAAAACTAGAGAGAAATAAAACAAAACAAAAAATCGGAAGTGTTTGAATAAACCAGTGCACGGACCTGGATACTAATCTTAAGCATACCTCAACCTGACGTTGTAATGATTGGATATAATTAATAATCTCATCAAGGACCAGTGCTTTGCCAATAACCTGACAAATGTAAATCTCAAATAAAGAGGTATTTTCAAAGCGATCTACGGAGTAGGATTTTAGAATACTACTAGTCTAGTATTACCAAGTACCATCAAGGGTGTATTGAAAAAATAAGATAACATAAAAGCCTTCCAACATAAATTTTCATAGATACAATTAAGAATGTAAACAAACGCTAAACCCAAATAGAACTAACCCACTAAGACCAATCAATCAAAACCGATACTACCCAATTTAAGAGTAGGATTTAGGCTTTAAGAAACGACTGAACGTGACTGAAACATACAAAAACTAACAGATTATATATTCACATGCTTGATTTTATATAATTATAACAATTCATCATAAGAAACATAACTAAACAATGCTATCTCATTACAGGCTTATTATGACACTTCAATAAGAAGAGATGGCACAAAATTCAAATGCATCACCTTGTTGCAACCAGGGACTATATCTTGAAGAATTTTCATTCTTCCACTGATCTTTTCTCTTCTGGCCTGTGCACCAAAAGGATCCCATCAGGCATCATCCCTTCTTTTAAAAATACGAAACATAATCTCGTAAGAAAGTCAACCGACCAGTTATCAACATGATGCTAAAGAGCTGATCAGATCATGAGAGGTACCTTCCTGTATCTTAGCATGATAACTTTCAAATTCACAGAACAAGAAATAAAGAAAAGTACAATTATACCCTTTCTGCCAAGCTATGACTATCAGTTGCTTGACCCCTCCGTGCACGAACATGGATGTAATCTTTGGGCACTTCGGGGGGCTTTGCAGGTTGTTCTAATGGCTTTCCAGGAGTCCCTTCCCCATTGACTTCAGACTCAGGGTTATCATTTGAACCTACTGTCTTTAGTTGCTTAGTATCACTTTCATTCTGCTCAAAGGAATCAAATTCACAAAATTTAATGCTCCAATTAATATGAATTTTTATCGTGTTCACTATAATTAGTACGAGAAAAATTTATAAAGCAAATTGATGAAAAATCAGTAAGAGAATTCGAAATATTTGACTGCCTTCCTGTTAGGAAGCTGCTCGTAATAATCCATATTCAGAGTGACACATAAAAACAGCCAACTTTCCTTTCTGATGTATCAAAATAAAAACAGCCAACTTCTGAAGATTTCAGCTATGATGATGATGATAGCAATTATGATAGTGATTACAGTGATAATAATAATGATGGTGATTAATACTTCGTAATAATTAAAAAGAAGAAACAAAGTTAAGGAGTTAGCGGTATTCAAAGTCAATCCCAAAATAGACTCTATACAATAGATACAAAAAAAGTACTCCTTAAGAACAAGTGCAATTCGAATTCCGGTGCACGTGATAAATCAAATTGGGCAGAAGCTAATCGAACGCAAATGAACAATTGAACAAAACAAGTATACCAAATCTTCTAGTACATACGCAGAGCATGTGTGGATGATGAGGCGGTGACCAATTTATATGTACCAGATCTTCTAGTACATAATGATGGACTCATCATAATGAGATCATTGCATCTACCTTAGTCTTCTTTATGGAGCATGTTCCATATGTTTTAGCTAACATCTTGAGCAAGTATAAATGAAAACTACCAAGAGTAAATGAACGAAAACGACATAAATGAAAAAAGTTGACGAAAGAGTAAATCCAAAAGACTACCAAGTCATTGCCGCTGGTGGAAACTCCCTTAGCTGATTCGTCATCCTCGCGTCGCTTCCTAGCTCTGCTGCCGTTCTGATTCACTGTCTGGTCCGAAAACCGCGGATCACTCAACGGCGCACAGTGCTCTAGACTCACATTCGCGGGCATCCCCAACCCATACGCCGCCGGGCCGGCGGCATTGATTGTGAACGGCCAGATCTCAGTCAAGCTATACGGAGCAATAGGAGCGGCCTGGAAGTCCCTTCCGCCGCCGCCGCCTCCTCCGTTACTCATCAACTCAGCTTGCGGATCCATATCTACCCCCGCTGCAATGCTAGCAGTCAAGACTCAACTCATCAGAGGTGATGAGGTAGGCTAAGCTTCAGTGAGATTGAAAATAGTCATTCGAAGCGGCTAAGTAGCATCAGGAATAGGGGGACCGGGGGATATATGTAGTGGAGGGAACAAGGACAGCGGAGCCAAAAGTGCGTAGCAACCGGGAATGGGAACGGGCCGAACGGCAAATAAGGATATTTTCTAATGGGGAAAAGGTGCAAATAGGTAGTAACTAAAAAAGGTCAAATAAGCCTTTATTTAGGAGACCCTGTCTGGTCATTGCCATTTGGGGTGGTTCCCGGTGGAATTTTTTGATGAAAATTTTTTAGCATCTTATTCATCAAGTCTAGTTTACTCATACCAAATTTCAGCTAAAACTTCAATCGGGAAGGCATTCAAATGAATTCTTGAAAATAACTGCGCTTCTAATTGCACAGTTATTTTCAAGAATTCATTTGAATGCCTTCTCGATTGACGTTTTAGCTGAAATTTGGTATGAGTAAACTAGACTTGATTAATAAGATGCTCAAAAAATTTCATCAAAAAATTCCACTGGGAACCACCCCAAATGACAACGGCCGGACAAAGCCTCCTAAATAAGGGCTTATTTGATCTTTTTTGGTTAGTACATGGGCCTATTTGCACCTTTCCCCTTTCTAATTTGCTAGTGGGTGTGGTCTGGTCTGGTCTGAACTAGTCTGGTCTGGTCTGGTCTGATAAACGTTTGAATTCTGTGTATTTTATAATTACAGAAATCAAGTCTGGTCTGATCTAGTCTGGTCTAGAAATGAAAACAGTCTTAACAAATCAGAGGTGCAAAACGTTGAAAACATTGAAATTGTTCTTCCGTCTGGTCAGGTATGATGTTCAATTCAATAGTGGGAGATCATGTTAAAATATGCATATGAAATTGTCCACTTCTCTTACTGTCTATTTCTCTTGTGAAATAATCAAAAAATCTGTATGAATTATTGATAATCATTAAATGAGTAAGTTTTGATGCCTGCCAATCAGTTCTTACGTGCTTATTTTCATGTCTGCCAATCGGTTCTTTGTGCACAATGATAAAATCTGCATGAAGTATTGATGCTTAACCAAATATAATTTTCGAGTTTGTATCCCACTAGTCATTAATAGATTTGGTCGTATTTTTATAATTTTCCAATGATTGTATAACTACTTAAGAAAATGAATAAAAAAAGGACAGAGAGATAGATATGTGTGAGGAATTATATGACTTAAGAAAATGTTTAATTAGACATTGTGTTTATAGATAATGCTAATGTATATAGACATGTTATTTAAGATATGTATATAGACATTGTGTTTGATTAGTAGACAGTATATACATAAGAAAATGTTAATGATATTATTTATTCACTGATGATTATAATACTTACACACTTATTATGACCAGGCAATTGTAAGGTCAATTGCAAACCCTGTCTTGTGTACAAAGAAGAAGATAAAATTGAATTGTTATTCAAATGTACATAATGCCATTGAAGTAATAAAGAAGCTGTTAAATGAAGAGCAACTCAATGAATTTAGAAATACAAATTTTGGAGGATTATTGGACATGGGTAATCTGGAATGGATGAATGGACAATTGTTGGTATTAATAGTTGAAAACCATGTGAAGAAGCTTAACAAGAAGATTTGGACAGACAGGATTAATTTCCATATAGGAAATATGGAGGTGAGTTTAAGAAAGAATCATTTGGCATTAATCATACGATTTAAGATGGGAGGAGAGAAACCAGTAGTACCTGGAGAAGACAATATATGTGACATATGGAAAAGTTTTTTTAACGGAAGGAGTAATGTTTCAAGGGGTGATATAACAAGGGCTTTTGAGGAGTTTGATAATATACCTGTGCAGAAGGAAGCCATAGATAGGGTTAAGCTGGCAGTACTTAATTTGATTGCAAATTTTATCTTTGGGAACCAGAAGTCAGTAAAATGTCTAGCAATATACCTTAACATGGTAGATGATTTGGATTTAGTGAACTAGTATCCTTGGGGAGATGAAATATGGGGAGATTTAGTGGAAAAAACGCCTAAATGGACACAAGATATTCAAAAGGCAACAAAAGATAGGTTCACCTTTCCAGGTTTTGTTTTTGCATTGCAAATATTGGCATTTGAAAGCTTCCCAGCTCTTAGGTTAATAAATGTTTGTACGGTAGAGGAAGCCAGAAGATCAATGTGGCCAAGACTGCTGAAGTGGTCAGTACCAAAAAAGACAAACATTGCTACACTAGCAGATGCCATATTTCTGAATGAAGAGGTAAACTTTAATTTATTGTTTACTTTATTTTATTGTCTACTTGATTTTATTGTCTGCACTGATTTTTTTCTGTTTTATACAGTTTAAGTATCAACCAATGCAACCAACTGAGGAGGAACTTAAGATTCCATAAATAAAGGAGTTGTATAGAAAGAAGACAATAAATTTAGGCAAAGGAGGCCGTCTTACTCTAAAGCATAGACTATCAAAAGAGAAAGCAGACTTTGCTATTCATGCAATTGAAAAGGCAATTTGAGAGAATCAAGATGATTGTGAAGTTCATAGTGATGGTCAAGGCACTGACGGTAAAGAAAATGAGCATCACAAAAGGCCATGTGATGTTGAACAAACTGACTGCAACCATAAAGTAGATGAGGGCATGAAGGAACAAAATGGTGAGAGTGCAATAGTAAGAGGACATCAAAGATTACAACGTTTGGTGAAGACAAGAAACATTGTTGAGAACCAAATGAGAGACAATGTCATTATGTGTAATATAATGGCTGCAGTTGTACTCCAATCCAAGAAGACCCAAAAGCTTGAGAGTAGAATAAAAGTGTTGGAAGATGGAATGCAAAGACTTCTCAGTGGTCAAAAGGAGCAAACGGATATGCTAAAAGCATTAATGCTTAGAAAAAGCACATCAAATGGAGAAGTTAAAAATAATGAACAAGAAATGAGCATGGATAACGATGAAACTTCTGACACAAGGGTAGATGAAGAGGCTTTGGTACCAGATATGCCTAGTTTTGACCTACATCTTGACCTAACATAGAAGGATGAAGGAAATATTGTGCAAAAGGTGCAAGTTGCAGACAGTGAGCACCATGAAGAAAATAAAGAAGTTGAAAGCAAGGATGCAAATCCCATAGGTGCACAAAAGGAGAAAACAGTAATCTTTGAAGAGGAAGGTTCACTAACTCCAGCTCAAGCAAGCATAAACACACAAGAGTTAGAATTGCGTGTGAACAGTGTCCTTCATGATGTCATTAATGACTTGAAAGAAAGTGACAAGAAAATAGAAGAAGAGGTAACTTAAATATTATTACAGTTTCAGTTTTATTAAAAACATTAACTACAAGAAAGAGGAGTTACTTTTGCAGACGAAACTGTACAACTATTATATCTAGTTGCACATATGGTGACATAACATAAGCATTAACAAACATTAAATTTATGTAGGTATATGTTGTTGAACAGAAGATCATAGAAGATAGTGAAACTAATAAGTGTGAGCCAAACAGTAAAGAAGAAAGAGATGAACAAATCAGGGATGCTCACAACTTTAAGGATGATGTAATTGGTTATATTGAAGACCAAAACTTCAAAAAAAAATTAAACAGTACAAATGGTTAATAGAATTACAGACACATTAATTTCTTATTATAATGACATATGGAACTTATCATGAAGTTATAAATGCACAGAATAGAGATACGAGTGTTATTGGAGCTGAACAAAAAGGCTTTAAAAGGTCAAAAAGGACTGCTAGGAGTCCAGGCAGATACACTCCTAACCCAACCATAGAATCCAAGAAAAGGAAGATGGAAAGGGCACTAAAGAGGAGAAAAGAGATAGAACTTTCTGAAGTGATTGGAATTGCAGGGCCATTTAGTGAGGATCCAAAACAAATGCCCCCCACAGAAGATTTAGAAAAAAGTGAAAGAATTTGTGTTGAAGGGGCTAGTAAAGAACCATGACAACAATGTCCCAAAAAAATACAAAAAGTAAGAAGAGGAACTAGTGAAATGCAAGTTTGGTCTTCAATTGGACGATTTTACCATAAGAACAAAGACATGGATTTATGAACTATTCACAAATCCACATTGGTTGACTGACACGGTAAGTGTATAAAAAATTTTGAAATATATAAACTATAATAATATATTTCATAAAAATCATTAAGAAATTGATTTTTACTTATTTCAGCATATTCGAGTGGCATTTTACTACCTGGCAGTGAAAAGAAAGCAGTCCCAACTGCACCAAAAGTATGCCATAATAGATCCTTTGTTTCTCGGGATGCTTAAGGTGAAAGGTGAAATGGTGTTTAATGATAAAACCACAATGACAGATGCGGCTTATAGTGGCACAATAATTAACACAATGCTTGGATCAAATAGAGGACATGGAATGTCGTGGGCATGCAGAAGCTGATTATGTCTACATGCCATTGAACACAACAATGCATTAGATATTGTTGGTCTTAGACATTAACAGTAAACGAATAAGAGTGTATGACTCCCTAAAGAGAAAGGGAGATTCACTGTCAAGCATTAGGGCTTTCATTCCTTGCTTGGAGACTTTCCTACCTTAGGTGATGGAAAGGTTAGTTGTTTATGACAAGCGGTCAGAGGCACATATTGGAAAAGGAAAAATTCGAATAGAGATGGTTCGTAACTGTCCACAATAGGAAGATGGGTATGTGGGGCTCAAATATTATATTTGTAACATAGTTTAATATATTATGCTTGTTTACCTTTATATTAAAGCATTTATGTCTTTACAGGGGCAATTGTGGTATGTTTAACATAAAGTTTGCTGAATTTCTAATGATGGGTAGAGAGGTGATTGAAGTTTCAAACCATGACATGGAAAACTACCGACACAAAATGACGACAGAGCTGTTAATGTATGCATCACGAGGATAGGAGTTGGCTTAATATGATGTATTGATATGTACTTGGACGAAGATAATTTGTAATGAATAAGTGTTTCGAAAGGAAAGAAACTTGTAAAACTTCCATCGTTTGGTCATTAATACTTGTTTTTAAACATTGATAACATTTGATTTGAAATGCTTTTTCATGTTTGATTTCATCTTTTTTGGGTGTCATATCAAATGCTTGCTCATGTTTTATTTGATATTCAGTTCAAGTATTA